GTTTTAAATTTATAACTGGGAATTATCAGCTCTCACTTCCGACACTACCCGCATTTCACTTGTTAAAAAATTTAAATAACATATACTTTAAGCTTAGAGGTGAATTGTTGTGTATTTGAGTTTGCAATTTCAGTTGAAAGTCAAGTAAGTCAACAATCCGCGGCCGTGGCCTAAAAGACCCATTTGAGCGGGGAATGTAACATTAGTGAAAAAATGTTAGTAGTAATAGTTTTTAAAAAGTAAGCGATGGTAGAACTCTTCCTTTAAACTTTAGATCCACACGAAGAAAGTTCTATGAAATCGTTCGGAGTGGTGTGATTCATAATTTGATTGGACAAATCAACAGTAATCAAGGGCGGTTCGATAGGAAGTCCATTTAACGTCACGAACTTTCTTTTCGAGTTCGCAGTTCCGATTTTTCGCTTCTTTCTGTTAAAAGACCGTTCAAATATCTGCTCCGCGGATATATGGCCATTTTCAGGAACCAGAAGAAACTCATTTTGAGTTGGCGTTGTTTGATTCCACACTTCCTGAATTTCCCTTTCTCGTGTTTCAACTGGTACCGAACGTCCTTCGAAAGTGGCTGTCTGCCACGAGGGAGCTAGATTAGTTTTGATTCCATCCACAGGGTTGATATAATACTCCGAATTCGAGTTAAAATTGTGCAAACGAACAAACCATTTTCTATCATTTGGCCGGATTGCCATAGAACTCGGACTGCGCATGCCTTGTGGGCCTTCCCGCCTCGTATAAAGTATAGTATCGCTCAAAGAAGCTTCATTCATGTTTTGTGAAATACCCAGAGCGCTGAAAACTTCTTCTTCGATGTCTTTTTTTCTTTTTTCCCTGATACACTCGTGGCAATACTTAGAGCCCATGATTTCGCAGAATTGCCTTCCTTGGGCCGCGTCAAAAAGACAGTTGTAACAAGTCGCCGTGTTAGTGTAGTCGCAAAAATACGGCGAAGGTGAACCGTTATACGTTTCTGCTCTGGAACGAGCGAAAGCACCATTCTCTAACCTCCAATCTTTCCCGTATTTTAAATCCCCGGTGCTGAAGGGTCTTTGCTCTCCTATGACTTCAGGATCCGTCAGTCTATGCCTGCCCTCACTCCTTTTCGCTGATGCCTTTTTCGGCCCAAGCAAAAATTCACGTTGAAGCATTGTTGGTAAGGAAGATTGGAACCTCAGAGCGCCATTACCGTAGAATTTAAGTCAGACTGTCTGGTAGTTAATCCTATACAGGAACCTTGATTACACTCACAAACGATAGCCTCTGGGTAGTTAATATTTGCTAAAATATAAAACCCAGCACAAGCAAAACGAGACGCGACTGAAATACACTTAAACAGCTTTCACCGTGGCGACCAGTGAACAACGTTTTCAATATTTTTTGTTTACTTTAGGAAAGTTCCTATTTATCGCGTCTTTGAATTTCATTTTCCAGTCTATTAACAGCTAAGTACCGTTAATATGCTCTTTCATTTGAAGCCAACGTTTGCCAAAAAACAACAAAGGGGGCTTAGCGGAACACAAAGGACAATAATCTTTCATTTGTTTTCCATATAGACATTGTAATAATAGTGTCTTGTGTGGAAGCTAACTAACGTCATTCTTTCTTATTTTACAGAAAATAACTGAGAAAAAAAAAGGTTACCGGAACGCTTTCAAAATTTACCCAGCATTTTCTCAACAAAAACTTAAACGGATTTTGGAGCGCAGTATAAAATGAAGTTTTTAACCATGCAGTTAATTACATCTCATTCAACTAGCCTTCAACTCGCTTCAATACGTTTAATATTGTTAAGTCGATGTCTTTACCAGTGGTTCAGGATATCAACATTCGTATAAATGTTGTAATGTTGAGCATTTTACTGAGCATTTTATTGTTTTTAATTTTGTTATTAAGCGGTCTAGCCTGTGTAGCATTCGTTTGTATTAGTTTCATGCAAGAGACGATATTCTCTCTTGTTTCATTTTAGCCGAAGCGAGAAGCGCACCACACGCGCAAGGTCATGAAATCAACAAAAATGGAGCAAAAAATTAGGAGCCCCTAATACTTTTAATCCTTTTTACCCCATGGGCCTGGCGCGTCTCATGTGCTTTTCCCGCGATTGCTACACAGGCTTTCATCAGCCGCGGTCACGATTCATACTCAATGAATGACAGAAGATGGGTTTCTTTCAAAACTATGAAACCTACCTGGAAACGGCGACTATAGAGCGTTTTCATATGACGTCACGGTCATGGCTGCCATGTTGGTGTTCCAAATCAATCCTGCGCGAGTTGAACACTTTCTAGACGTTTTCAATTCTTCTAGTCGATTTGCATACTAATTGAATGCTTGCCACGTGAGTGAAAACTCTCTATAGAGAGATTTCACATGACGTCATAGCGGCCATATTGGTGTTCCAAAACAATGAAACGGCGACCATGTTGGTGTCCCAAACTAATCATTTGGGAGTTGAACTCTTTTCTTATGCAAACACTCTCTTTTGCTCCAATGAATATGCATAGATGCTGGCCACGTGAGTGAAAACACTCTATACGACGGTATCTGTGTTGTTCCAAACCTGGTTTAAAAGTTCCAGAAAAAACGTGATCTACCTTTGTGCTCAAATATTAAAATTTTCTTATGTTGACGTTCTTTTCTGCTTCTAACTAATATTTGTTGGTCATGTTGGTAAGAATGAACAAAACGAGTTAATACTTGTAAAAATTTATAGATATTCCTATTTATTTTTACTGTAAATGATTTTTAAATGAAGTTTCGCTTAGTTATATCAATATACTTTTAATGATATTTCAGCTTCATTAGCATAATCTCAGATCATTTGCCGATATTATCTAATGTATACTTTTCACTGTGTCAAGTATCTTCAATAAACTGATAATAATCTTTATTCAAAATTTTTATTCAATTATTTGTTCAGTTGTTAAGTCAGCGAGTTGCGAAATGATAAGAATTTTCCGCCGCAATTTATTATTGTCTCAATTAAAGCTCTTTTGATAGAGGGACGAAACGCGCAGTCTAAATTTTAACCGGACATTTGCATTTTTAAGAGGGATCATAACCGAGTAAACACGTTTAGAATACACCATACGAAGGGAATCGATTTTGAAATTTAAGGTTATCAAAGGTAAGCGCAAAGCTACACTTGCCTGCCAACTTTAGAGAAGTAATAAGAACATTGTTGTATTTTTCTATATAGTGAATATGCAGTTGGTTTTTTGCTGCTTCGGCTGCTCCTGTTGTTGTTGTTGGTTACTCCCAGTTAAGGTTATTATACTTGTCCATGCACTGTCTTCTTTGATTGTTTAAAAAGGCCACCTTAAAAGAAATTGCCAGTTTAGTATTGAATAATCGTGTACTATTAAAAGCCAGTAAAGAGACGAATTTCCTTTTCTGTGTTCCAGCTGGAAGCGATCAATATGGGAACTGGGGTGAAACTAGGGAAAATCTTTACGCCATGATCACTGCCTTGAATGGCGCTACTCATGCGGGAATTTTTCATGCCGGCCGGCAGTAGAATTCAAAATTCGTCAGAGAATACTGCGTGCGATAACAAAGAAAATGGCGAAAGATCGACCACTGGCCCTTACGTTGTTCTGTTTTATGGGCTTATAAATTCCTCTGGATTCTACCAGCAAATGAGTTTACTAGAGGAGCGATTAATAAATTATTTTCAACAAAAATTTGTTTGTTACAGATTCTACAAGTATTATCGAATTTGCTTTGAATTAAAAGTGGCTGTTTTGGAACCTTTGTCGTGTGGAATCTCGAGCTCAGTTCAGTAGGTGGAAAAATTCGACGAATTACTCGGTTAACTTCACGGCCAGCATATTGAAGTTCCATGTATCAGGCGGGCTCCTGGAAATTTTAGCAGGGTCGCGACCACTACAAGTACTATCGAAACTATGTTTTCGAACACGTCTCGATCCTCTTGGAGGCCGTAAGAGAGCATGCATGGTTGACTGATTTGAATACTTCGTGAAAACGCCGTGAAACGAATACATGGAAGTTGCTTGCTCCGAGTTATGGGCTCCTGACAAGGACGGTTACTAAACTAAGAGGCCCTGCTGGGCCGGACGGGGAGTGGGATGGGAGGGGGGGTTACCGGGGTTGCTTACCTGGACTTACTGTCTCGGTTTTCAGTCAAACAAAGCTAGTGTTTATTTGAACTGATATTGTTAATGTCAAGGAAATAAGAAGCTTTTCTTGCTATACAGTAAAAAGAACATCTCTTACTTAAATGCATTGGAAACGATTATTGAAGCAAGTACTGAGTATAAAACAAGCTGCAGCAAGGCTATTCGAGGCTAGGGACGTAAAATTCCCGCACCTCACAGCTTTCACCTATGTTGCGTGCAAAACGTTATTCTAACTTTTCGGCACTGTAAGAGTGAAAAAGTCAACTATCAAAAGGCTTCAGATCAGTCAAGCCCTATATCTCAGAGTCCAATTCGCTGCCAGATTTAAGTGAATTGGCGCACACTATCTCACAAAGACCTTCTACGTACCCAACCTTTTCAACCAAGAAACAGATAGAACGAGGGTAAAACGGCTAAATATATCTAGATATCTGTTACCTACGTTTGGAGTACGACTGTAAAATGTTCCTTTCTAATATATTGTCAGCAATATATATTGGTAAGTTTGCCAAGTATTTCCGATAGCCTTCCAATACTCAAGGAGAATGTTATCTCTAGAATCACAATGCAGACACGTTCGCAGTCGAATACAAGAGCTGTTTTAGCTACATCACTTTATGCAACCTGTATAGTTAAGGAAGCAAATATGTCGGGCGTTCTGGGAGCGCTATTTCTCCTCCTTGCAGCAACTGCTGCTCTGAAAACCGTCTTAGACGAAANTTAATATGACATACATGAGAGCAGAAAACTTTTTTAAACTTTATTTACGTGTCAGGATATTAAGCTTACAAGCTTACAGGTTCTTTTCTATTTGACTCATTTGCAGATGCTGCAAGCGTGGAGAACGAGATGAACGAAGCCTTTAAAGAAAACAGTAAAGATATCGAATTTGACGAGAGGGGCGAAACTTCTAACGAAGACAAATTAGGAGACATAGAAGGCGAAATTGAAGACGCTTCAAACGAAGAAAGTAAAATTGACATAGCCCAGGGCATAGAAAAGACTTCTTTTGAAGACAGTGAAGTTATGGCAAACGAGATGGACGGAAAGTTTGACGAAGATGGCAGATACATCATAAATGATAGAAGGGACGAAAGTTTTAACGAAGACAACGATGGTAGGGCAGAGTATAAGATGGACGAACGTTCTGAAGAAGATTCGATACCTGAAGAATATATCGAATATATCACAATTAATGATGGCATGGAAGAAACTATTAACGAACATAAACATGGCGCCATAGACGAAGATCTCGAAGATGGGTACGCGCAAGGTAATGTAGTTTTTTAACCTCATGAAAGAGAATATGAAAATAGTTTTAGCTACACCTCGTTGCTTCTACAAAACTAAAAGTTTCACAAGAACTGAAAAATTTAGATCGAAGCGGTTTTGAGACTGACATGTAACTAAATTGCAATTCAACAATTTCTAAAGGGGTCACAAAACTCGTTTCTAAGTTATAAGTAACATAAGATAAATAAGTTAAATTAAGGGTGCTTTGACAGACTATACAGTGGCTATGGTAAATGTTACACAACAAAAGTTATTGGACGTATTTTGGTGTCATCCGACCATAATTATCCTTTTTATATCAGTAATATCATGCACTCGTCCTGACAATTTTACACATTGTTTTAACTTTGATTAGAATTTACCGTGGAGGAAGAAGAAAATTTCCCTTATACGTTTGAAAATCAAAAAGACACAGTGCGCCATTGTGGTTTTGGGATCTACTACAACTCTTCTCACCAAGGGTGTTGTGGTAACAAGCATCGATACAACTTACGAACTCAGCAATGTTGCAATGGAACCGTGGTTAGCCTTTTCTACCTAAAGTGCTGCAATGACGGGAGCGTTGCCTCGAGGAATTCTTCATGTAGCCTGCCAACCAGGTGCGGGATTGTAAGATACAACATCTCATATCAAGGGTGCTGTACTGGGACATCTCGCAATTACGTGTATGACCTAAGCACCCAAAAGTGTTGTTATGGTCGTGTCTACCCTAATAGTATTCCATGTCTACCAATATGTGGTTACGGGTTCTATAACGCATCGCATCAGGGGTGTTGTGATCGCAGATATGTGTATTACCTGAGTAACGAGAAGTGCTGTTATGGTCTTGTAATTCCCAAAAACGAGTCCTGTGTGCATTCCTATAACTGTGGTAATATCAGGAACTACGATCCAACGATCTACGGATGTTGCGGTGGCGACTACTTGTACTTTTTGAAGTATAGGAAATGCTGTTATGGTCATGTCATTTCCAAAAACGACTCTTGTCTACCCTCCCGCGGATGTGGTTACTCAAGTTACAACCCCGCGACCCATGGTTGCTGCCAAGGAAAATTGCCGTACTCTTTGAAATATCAGAAGTGCTGTTATAGCCGTGTTATTTCCAAGAACGCTCCTTGTATCCCAAGGTGCGGTCACAAGAACTACAATGCATCTTTCCAAGGGTGTTGCGCTGGCAAATACATCTACTACCTGAATACTCATAAGTGCTGTTATGGTCTTGTGATTGCTCAAAACGATTCCTGTGTGCCTTTCCCTAAATGTGGCTACTTGAGCTACAACCCAGCGACGCATGGATGCTGCAATGGAAGATATCGGTTCTCCTTAAAGTATTATCAGTGCTGCTATGGTCGTCTCATTCCAAACAATGCCTATTGTGTACCGTACCGCAAATGCGGCTTCGTAAGCTACAACCCAACCATCTACAGATGTTGCCGAGGCCAATACCTGTACTTTCTGAGGTACAGCAGGTGTTGTTATGGTCATGTTATTCCCAGAAGCCACTCTTGTGTACCTTTCCGCAAATGCGGTGATTCAAGTTACAACCCCAAAACCCATGGGTGTTGCAAAGATCGTTCCGTGTACTCTTTGAAATATCAACAGTGTTGTTATGGTCGTGTAATCCCAAAATTCTACGCATGCACGAGTTACATGTGTGGACTGTACCCCTACAACTCACGAACAGAAGGTTGCTGTAGTGGCAGGCAGAGGTACAAAAAAAGGATCAAGAGGTGCTGTGATGGTCGCGTGATCTCCAAGAAATCCACATGCCTACCCAAATGTGGTAAAGTCAACTATGATCCACGAAAACAAGGTTGCTGTAATGGCAAGTACAAGTACAGCAAAACGTTCCAGAAGTGCTGTAATGGTCGTGTGATCTTCAGGATATCCACATGCTTACCCAAATGTGGCAAAGTCACCTACGATCCACGAAAACAAGGTTGCTGTAATGGCAAGTACAAGTACAGCAAAAGGTTCCAGAAGTGCTGTAATGGTCGTGTGATCTTCAGGATATCCACATGCTTAACCAAATGTGGTAAAGTCACCTACGATCCACGAAAACAAGGTTGCTGTAATGGCAAGTATAAGTACAGCAAAAGGTTTAAGAAGTGTTGCTACGGTCGTGTAATTTCCAAGAAATCCACTTGCCTATTATACCCAAATGTGGCAAAGTCTCCTACAATCCGCGAATACAAGGTAGCTGTAATGGCAAGCAAAGATACAACAAAAGGTTCATAAAGTGCTGTTATGGTCGCGTAATTTCCATCACGTGACACTAAGTTGCATGCAAATTACCAAAGAACCTTTTCACAACCGACATTTTCAACAAAGCGAATAATGCTCACTGAACTGAGTTACTCGCCTTACTGGTACCTTTCTTGCTTGTTATCCCTTATCTCTGTAACCCTTAAAACAGATACATGTATCCATTATCCCTAGAAATTCCAATTAAGGCAGGGAACGCGCAGGGAGAGGTGCTGGGGGCGGAAATTGCCCTCCCTGCGCCCTTTTAATTTTGGGCGAAATAAAAACATCTTTGCCAAAAATTTAAAGTTACATTTATGGTAGAGAATAAAGACACTATATATGTAGCTGAAAAGATGCAATAATTATTGTGCTTGTTACGGCAGAGGCCAGCGGTGAGTTCATAAAGACTCTTTACGCGAGAGCTAACAAAGAAAGAACTAAGACGATAAGTGCGGTTATTAAACGGGCGTATGGGAATCGCTGCATAAAGATTACAAAACGGCAACAAAATTACCAAAAAACTTGCGCCTAAGGTCGCAGCTACATGAAGTCCCAAAAGTGGCGCGGAATTCTTGCTCTTCACAGAGCCACTAACCTTGGCCCGGCGAGCGGAGATAAGTTTTTCTCGATATGAATTGACTTTGTTCGCAGGGCATTTGATTCACGGACTTCTCGTTGGAAATGGGTTTGTTCTGTTCTTAGAACACAGGAAGTCTTAAATCATTTCCTTTTTCTGTTGTTAGTTCTTTATCAGTTTCTCTTGTTCCCGTTTTACCTTGTCTCCTTGTTCTCCAGTTCCCTTTTTTTCCTTGTTCCCCTGTTGCTTTGTTCCTTTGCTCTCTTGTTCCCCTGTTCGTCATTTCCCCTTGTTCTCTTGTTCCCTTCTTTCCCTGTTCAAGTTCTTATTGTAGCAAATTCGCGTAAAATAAATAAAGCGCACATTGTTTAGGAAAAGTCGCGTTAATTTTGAGTGAAGTACATCAAGGTGTCAAGCTGTCAAAATGCATCGTTAATTTCCTATGATAAGGTAATTTATAGAAAGTCAGTTTTAGCCAATCATTTTCAGACAAGAAGCTTCAAGCCTCTGGAAATCGACAACAAGCCAGGATTTTTGACAAAGTAGGTTTCATGCTAACCAGGCTGTTTGAACCAATCAGAGAAGACTTTTCTCACCACCAGCAGCTGTTTATTGGCTGATATAAAATTGGGTGAAGCACTGAATTAGCAGAGAATTCTGTCAACGCAATAGAATAAAAATGAGGTTTCACTCCCAATAAAGAAAGTTCATCACGCAAATCAAGCAAGCAGTGTCTTTGTTGACAGCCAAGCTAGTCCCCGTCAAAAAGTCCTTCTAATGAGGCAAAACTTTATTTAATCTTGCTCGAATCTCCTGCCAATAAACTGTCATTCTACTACAAAACAACATTAACTTCTAAAATGCTCCTTTTATTATCGATGTTCAAGGTTAAGATAACCTTCCTGAACTATTACCCTCCAAATCGAGTTCGAATTTAATATAAAAACAGAGTTATTTCAATGAAGGCTATATAAACTGCAAAATTAACTATGGATCGGCATTCATTCTTTTTAATTATAACAAAACTAAATTCACTCTACAATAAGAGAAAGGATTCAAACAGAGTAAAGAGTGGTAACATATTCAAGCGCTTTTCGAATCCCGTGGGGTTATCCAGGGATCCCCCCCAAAAATTCTATCATGTGAAATGGTTAAAATAAACTCCTTCGTTCGTTTGAACTTACAGATCGATGAAATCCTTTAAATTGTCCAGTTTTTTAAGTCGAAAAAACAACATTTGACCCTTAAAGCTGATATAGCCGAGCAGTAACAAATTTCCCCTTACAAGATCTCAAATCTCGATTGGCAAACAGTTTCTCCTTATTACACCAAAAGAAAATTTAATGTATGGGTATCATTTTGGAGAAAAAGAGGTATTAGGGCTTTAAATGTCAACCTTAAGTTCGCTGGTTTTCTTTGAGCATTCCTTTAACTCAAATGAAACACAAACAGCTTCGACCCTTCGTAGTAATTTTAAATCATCTGCTTAACAGAGGGGGCTGTGACTAAAGTGAACGCAATGGAGAAGAAATCATTATGGAATTTTGTCGCTTTGCAGTTACGGTGAATTTATTCTTCTATACATGAGACGTACTATACTACTCTTTGTAAAATTGGAAAATTAATTATATTTAAATCAAACATCTATGCAATGGCTTTAGCCTCGGGCAGGAAGCCTTCCCAGTGCTTGATAAGCTACAAGAAAACACGAGAAAAAGAAAAAAATGAGGTTATAATTCACCGTTTTTTGTTTACCCCCCCCTGCAAAGTTTGGCATAACTATTATTTCCACTACACCATTTCTGAATTCCTGTAACTCTCACTTTCAAAACGAGGCAGATTGCAAAACCTTTCTTGTGAAAGTGAGTTTATTGGCATGAAAATGAAACCCCATTTTCACAACAATAGCTTTGCATTGAGCTTCGTCTTGACAAGCTTTGGGTAACTTGGAAATAGCCCATTTCTCCTGGGTATCACATTTGTCCCAAGACAAATTGAAGACAATGCTTATCCAAATTTTTCTTGTGGGTAAACTAGGTGTATTATGGGCAATGTGAAAATGCACATGGAAGAGAGGATGGCACAGTGGCGTGGGCACTGTGGACTTAGCTTCAATCTCAGAGTTGACAAGCGCCCCGAGTTTCACTAGTTTTCTTGTGCATGGAGCTCCACTAAAAATACCAGCCATCAACTCCTCCCTGTAGTAACAATTTACACACCTGTTGCTGGCTTTCCATCATTGCTTCTAGGTACTTGATAATGGCTTCACGGAAATCTTTCACCCGGTTTTTCTGTGGAGAAAATAAAAAAACCCACCTCATTAGTCTCGAAAAAAGTAAAACCAACAACGACAACAACAAAACGATTCATATGCGTAATACTGGGAACATTCCCTGCTTGATGAGCAAAGACAAACACTTATGTTAACCCTTTCACTGCCAAAGTAAGCCATACACAAACTTTTAAAATTTCAGCAGCACCATGTTAAGGTACTGCCAGCAAGGTTACGTTTGAATGATCAAAGCATAGGATTTTGTCCACAGACTCAAAAGTTAGAGCCACTCTGTGGAAGTAAAAGTGTTTATTCTCACTTATGGTAGCTTTGTTTATCACACACTGATTTACTGCAGGCTGTTTTGTCTTGATATCTTCTGCTCTCCATGCAATGACCATGAAGTCAAGTGGGTCTATCTTACCTCAAATCGTGCTATCTCCTTTTGAATTAGTTTCGATATTTTACCAAAGTCTTCTTCTCCCTTCTCTACCTTGTGTTCCCACTGTAAGAAAATATTAAGAAAGATAACTCTTAAGAAAAAAAAAAACAAACAAACAACGATAAACGATGATCAGGGCAGTAGATGCATGTAGCAAAAGGCTTGCAGAGGCACTTGCACTTTACTTTCTGCTCTGAAGAAAGAATAATGACCATTTGCGGTACTACAGGTCTAGTATCTCTGAATAACAATAATAATAATAATAATAATAATAATAATAATAATAATAATGATAATAATAATAATAATAATAATAATGATAATAATAATAATAATAAAAGGTTAGTTTGTTCATAATTATCACCTCTTTGACTTCCTCCTGTGCTTGTGGCAATTTCTCATTTTTTGAGGCCAGCTCCAATTTGACCAGAGCTTCCCTTTTCTTGGTCAGCATCTGCTGTGCATGCTGCCAGTTGCTGTAGGCACGAACACGCTCATTGAAGCTTGCCTAAAAGAAAAAAAAAAAATCAGTTTGCTACTTTTTGTTACAGCTTTTGACTAACACTTTGGGTTTACATAACCCAGTCTTCAGGTGAGGATGCATTATTATTATTTATTATCTTTTTGCGTACAAGTTGATGATTGGGTGCTCTAAAAATAACAGAGAAAACTATCCAAGAAAATGCTTTTGAACAAAAGAAAAAGAAACCCGGGTTAAATTTAACCCTGGGTTAAGCACTAATCGGCCTTCAAACAACTGGGCCCAGAAGTTCATACTGACCTTGACAGCTTGAATCAAACCAATGTAATCCTTTAACAGTTCAGCCAATACATAAAAATCAGAGTCCGCCTACAACAAAAAAAGAACATGAGTGATTCAATGAAACTGATAACAATTCTCTTATTCTCGCAGGATAGTACAGACAGTGTTAAGGTGCTACAAAGTTCTAATACTGATAACTAGCTGACATATCAGCTTTAAAGTTAATTACAATATTGTGTATACCTGGCCTAAATGAAGCTGTTCAATTTTCTCTTCAACTTCAGCCAATTGGGAAAGTGCACGGGACAGTGTGGCATGCTCTTCTGCATTACCTGTAAAAAAAGGAAAAGAAAAGAAAAGATATAACAATACCACTTTGAGTGGTATTCTCTTTTAGAAAATAGCACAGGCTCTAAAATGTGGGTGCTGAAAACACTCTAAAGTTCTATATAAAGTTCTTCATGTACAATGTATATTGTAGATTCAGATTTATTATGAGCTCTTTTATAGATCAGAATGCATATCAAGGGGGCTCACAACAGCTTTTAGAATGTTTTTAGAAGTACTGTGGTACAATGAAACTGTATGTTTTTCACCACAATCTACTTACTCAGCATTGCTGTGGACTTGGCAAATGCAGCAGTTGAAGAACTCAAATCTAAGTGCAGAAACAAAAGAGATAAATTAGCTTTTAAGAACAATTTGATAAATTTCAAAGAAGACGAAAGTAACTGTTGAGGTTGGCTAACATATTTGGTTATTTGGAAGTTTTAAATCACAAATCTTTGAAAAAAGATCTGAGTCTGTCATACATGTATCTCTTTGAAAACACTAAAATTTGCACAGAAACTTGGGTATGACGTGGAAGTTTTCTGCTTGAAAAAAAGGTTGTTTACTTTTAAGACATACAAGTGGGGGAAATTCAAGTTCATTCAAG